ATTGAAATTGTAAATGGGTTAAACTTTTTAGCCATTGCACACTTTAGGGTATTTACAAGATTAGTCCTAAGTTTCAACTATAAATACCCTAGCTCATTTAGCTTCAAACTCATCCCAAAAATCATTTCTTCTCTAATACTAGAGAGCTTTCTTGTGAGTAGTGAGTGTTTTGTAAACCTGTAAATTTTCTCTCTTAGTAAAGATCTGCAGCAGTCTGAAGATGTAAGCACAATTGGCTGAACTTCGTTATCAATTTCGGGTATTATTTTTCCGCTTTTATTCGTATTCTCACAAATCTGACTATAGGGAAATTACTTGTACTCGATTTATTTCCTAACAACTGGCATCAGAGCTTTTTGGTTGTGAATTCTGTCAATTTTTGCGAGGTTACTATTCGGGTTACTATTCACAGAATAGTGAATTTCGTGAATAGTGAAATTCGGTCGGCGATACGAGTTTGTCGACGGAGGTGTTCTAATACACGGCGGTTCGCAGAAATTGTCAGAAACGATCCAAACAAAGCCAGATTCGAGTGGGAGCGATGGCTGCAGACGAAGGGAATGAAAATTGAAAGTTCGATGGTGCGAACTTTGGATTTTGGAATATGCAAATGAAGATTTTGTACCAGAAAAATCTATATCAACCCCTCTCAGGAAAACACCAGAGGGCATGAATAATGAAGACTGGGCTCTTCTCGACAAACAAGCCCTCGGAGTTATCCGACTGACGTTATCCCGCATGTGCTTTCAACATAGCAAAGGAAAAGACCACGGGGTCTTATGGCTGCTCTCTCCAGTATGTAGAAAGCCATCGGCCTCAAACAAAGTTCATTTGATGAGGCGATATTCAATTGCGGATGGAAGGGGCATCGGTGGCACAACACCTAAATGAACTCAACACAATCACAACCCAGTTGAGTTCATGGAAATTGAGTTCGATGATGAAGTTCGAGCTTTAATTCTCTTATCATCTCTACCAGACAGCTGGAATGCTACTGTTACAGCAGTCAGCAGCTCGTCGGGGAACAGCAAATTGAAATTCGACGATGTTCGGGATCTGGTATTGAGCGAAGAAATTCGACGAGAATCGGGTGAAGCATCACCTCAGCCTTGCACACGGAGTCCATAGGGAGATGGTTTGGCTCCAAAGTTTCTTGGAAGAGTTAGGCAAGAAACAAGAAACAATGTTGTATTGCGACAGTCAAAGTGCTATCCATCTAGCAAAGAATCCGTCTTTCATTCCAGAACGAAGCATATACAATTGAGATATCATTTTATTCAGTCTCTTCTGGAAGATGGGATTTTGAAACTTGAAAAGATTAGTGGAGCTCAAAATCCGGCAGACATGTTGACAAAGACGGTGACCACAGACAACTGAAGTTGTGTTCAGCTTCAGTTGGCATGCTAAATAACAAGACTAGAAATGCTGCTGCACTGATCGAGGTGTAAAGACATATTAAAATCAGTCTTCAAGTGGGAGATTGTTAAAGTAATCAAAGGTGGGGCCAGCTGAATTGTTTTCAGCAGAAATTTTCAAAATTGGGGGGCACACACATTTTCAACAAAAGGGGAATCGAATTCGGTGCCCATATTTTATTGAATTGTAAATGGTTAATTACTTTTTAGCCATTGCACACTTTAGGGTATTACAAGATTAGTCCTAAGTTTCAACTATAAATACCCTAGCTCATTTAGCTTCAAAACATCCCAAAAATCATTTCTTTCTCCCATACTAGAGAGCTTTTTGTGAGTAGTGAGTGTTTTGTAAACACCTGTAAATTTTCTCTCTAGTAAAAGATCTGCAGCAGTCCGGAGACGTAAGCACAATTGGCTGAACTCCGTATCAATTTCGGGTATTATATTTCCGCTTTATTCGTATTCTCACAAATCTGACTATAGAGAAATTACTTGTACTCGATTTATTTCCTAACATAAAGTTTATTGTCTAATCGGCACAATAGCCGTCGTTAAAACGACAACATTTGTTCACGTCGTTATAAGACAGAAATATATGTCAACGTCGTCATGCCTATAAAATTTAACGACTCAAAAGTATAGTTAAAGTCAAAATCAAAGTTCAATACTATAACGAAGAATTAAAGTTTAATGATATAAATGATATACTCCCTCTGTTATATTGAATCCGTCTAGTGTTGACTTTCTTCTGGTCAATTTTTTTTTAAATTTGACTCGTTATTATTGATAAAATATGAAAAATAATATATATATAAAAATTTTAAATCAATTAATTATAAATATATATTTTATAAAATTTAATTATTTATAATAAAAATAATCACATTTTAAAGGTAATAATAGGCATAATTAATGGGAAAGATGGGAGTATCATATAAAATTCAATGATAACTTGGGTAGTTTTAACTTATCAAAATTACTGAACTAAAAACTCGAAACCTAATTGTAAACCCGAGAAGGAAAAAGAAGAGAAAAGAAATCCGAAATTCAACGATTCAGCCTTGTGGTGGGAGGCCACGAAAAACAACAAAGCTCCCAAACGTGTATTATAAATATAAAAGGAAGATTTATATGATCTAGTCCCCCTTACAAGCATTGCTAGAAACAGGGTAGCACGCAAACAGTGGGCCCAGGCAACGGTTAAGGAAAAATTTAAACAAACTGGAAAAGAAGCCTTCAACAGAAGTGCTCTTCGTTATCCCTGTAGATTCCATCCATTTTGTATCTGCATTTTTAACTTCGATTACTTTGGAAACTTCACATTATTCTTCATTTTTAAATTTATTTTTGATCCTTATATTCTCGTAGTTGGATAATCCTACCGTCTATAATTTAAAGCATACCACCACTTGTAATCACCCTACACTAATAAAAAAAAATATTACGACTATCATTTTATTTCGTTTTGATCATCCAATTATTATTATTTTCAAACGCATACTTATGATGTTATATTTTGGTAACCCTTTCAAAGATTAACAGGATTGTCGATGTGATATTTGAAAAAAAAAATTAATAATGACGGGACACTATCTTATGATTACACATTATAATAACCGTTAATAATTTAATAGTGAGTGACCAAGATGAAGTCAAAACGTAATGTTAAGTATGATTTTAAAAAAATAACTTAATGACCAAAACGGAAGAAAAGTGATAATTGAGATACCAAACATGTAATTTAGCCTAAATATTATTTTATTTTTTTTTATAAAATATTAGAGTAAATTATGTGTTTGGTACCCAAACTATTAGTTTTAGTTTGTTTTAGTACCTAAACTTTCAAAAAAATTTCAAAATCATATCTAAAATTTAGTTTTTGTTTCATTTTAATACCTCGTCGTTAAAAGTTTTTGTTTCATTTTAGTACTCTCGTTCAAGATTTAACATTGAATTTTGAAAAAAATTGAAAGTTGAGGTACTAAAACGGATCAAACCGATAGCTTAGGTACTAAACGCGTTAAATTTTTAAAAGCGGGTTAATAAAATGAAATGCAAACTAAACGTTAAGTATGATTTTGAAAAAATTAAAAATTAGATACTAAATAGACTAAACTAATAGCTTAAGTACTGAAATGCGTAAGTTACCCAAAATATTAAGTTAATATCTAACGTCAATTTAGACAACTTATTGTTTGATTAAGAGAGAAGACAACAGTTTAATTGATAATACAGAGAAGAGATGTGGCGTAACAAAGTAAGACCAGGACAAAACCGCACGAAAAGCGTGCATTCACGCGCTTTATAGTAGAATCTCTCAGAGCAGGGGTAATCCTTCCCGCCAATATTTAATAAACACAATCAACTAATTAATATTAATAATCCATACTTGGATGTAGACCCCTCCCCTTACCCTCCAAAATTAAGCACCTCAAAAAATGGCAAATCGTATCAGGACCCTTCAAAAAAAAAAAAACAAAACAAAACAAAAACATACACACAATGAAACCAAAGAGAAAAAAGAAAAAGGAAAAATATTGAGGGAAATAAAGCAAAAAACAGAACACAGTTTGTCGGGGTGGCTGGTGGGGCTCCACGATACAGCTTAGAAAGGGAAAAACAGAAAGGAGTTTAGGAGAGAGAAAAGAACATCTCTGGAAAATTTTGCAACAAGAAATAATAAATAAAAACCTTGGACGAGGGAGGGAGGAAGATACCAATGGGGCTGGTCGATGAGGTGGAATTACTGCTCTGAGAATGCTGAGAATCATTATATAAAAAAAGGCATTAAAAGGAAATAAAATTTTCTGGGTTTTTCTTAATTATTTTTTGTTGTTTCAAATTCCAATTCTTTTTTACATTTGTTTTTTCTTTGCTGCCTTTTTTAGTCTCTAATCAGATTTCAGAAACCTACTGTCCAACACCTCGTCTTCCTATCGAGGAATCTACCCCTTCTCTATTTTTTTAATTTGTTTTGCCAAAATCTCAACATTACCATTTGCAATTATAGCATCAAAGAAGAGGGACAAAGAGTTTTTCTGATTTTGTACACCCTTTATGGTAAATTCAACTCTCCCTTTTGTATTCGATACCCGGTTGCTCCCCACCCCCCCTGGATTGCTTGCTCTTAGGTCATTCCGTTGCTAACATTCTTTATGGTGTTTTTGTCTTAATTCTTCCCTCCCACAGCGCTAGGCTAACGGGTGTCGTGAGATCAAGTAAAAAGAGAGAGAGAGAGAGAAATAGGAGACCCTGATTTGATCAAAGGTGGTGGATTTACGTTTCCATGTGATATATTTTGTACTTATGCATTTTTAACATTTTGGTGTGGTGGTGATGTTTCATTTGTAGAGTAAATTTGGAAGAGTTGTGTTTCTGTGTAAGGAAAACCTGGCGATTCTGCATAGCCTCTACCTCTGCCACTGCGGAATTTGGCTTATCAAGTAATGGGGGGTAGATGGAACCCGATTAGATTCCATTTGTTCAAATTCTTCTTATTGATTCCAAGTTTCGTCATTGAAGAGTCTTTGGCCATTAACTGATGGTAATTTCTTCTTCTGGTATCTTTTTTCATTAATTTTTACAATGCTGGTTCCCCCCCCCCACACTCACAACAATTTTAATGGATTTGGAAATGCAGGTTCAGCTTTATTAAAACTTCGAGCGAGAATTGGCTGTGATCCTTATGGTGCTTTATTGAATTGGAATTCCAATGATAGCACACCGTGCATGTGGTTGGGGGTTCATTGTGTTGACAGTAAAGTGCAAATGTTGTAAGTCCTTGAAGTTCTTTATGGTGTAAACTGTGCATAGATGAATCCTCTAACGTCGTTCTTGTTTGTATTTAGGGATTTAGGTGCCCTTTCTTTGGAAGGAACGTTGGCGCCTGAGCTGGGGAAGTTAAGCGACTTAAGATCACTGTAAATAGTCACACAATCTTGCTTCCATATATTTGATCATTATCTTAGTTCTAGCTTTAACCTATTCGAACTTTCTGGACATTTTCTCGCTGTTTATGTTAATAGTGTGCTCTATAAAAACCATTTCTCGGGCGCCATTCCAAAGGAGTTTGGCGAGCTTACAAAGCTGGAGCTATTGGATTTGAGGAAAAACAACTTGAGTGGAATGATTCCATCCGAGATACTCAGCATGCTGTCTCTAAAACACTTGTAGGTTCATTTTAGCAAGCTTATACCATGCAACTTTATTCTATGTTATTTTCGACTGAATTGTCTTCCACCCCAGGTTACTTGGTGACAACAAATTTGACAGCTGTATTCCTTCAGAACTCTGGAAACTAAATTTGCTCTCCGAACTGCAGTTAGATGAAAATCTTATGCCAATGTTGACTACTGCAATTGGCTGTGTAAATAGGAAGCTTGGACTTCGGTAAGAGCCCATAAACATTACAGTGGACTTTTCATTCTCGTTGTTGGTCGATTGCCTCCCCTTATTCGACATCCACAACACAAGCATGCATGCTACAAAACCATCAGAACTCTTATCCCATTGCCATTTGGTTGACCATATGAAAGTGGCATGAACTTGAAAATAGCTTGCGCTGTGGGAAAATTAGAATACATTATTCGTTTCATTAAGCAGACTGATTCTCATTCATCGACATAAAATATCTTTGAATGCCTAGTTTTATAAGGTCAATTTGCAACAAGTTTATGCGAAAGTAATGGTAGATTTCAGTTTTCCTTAAAATGAATGCTTCTCGAATCACAGAGAAGAAAAAAAAACCTCTGACCGAATGAGTGCTTCTGAGTTCACATTACTCAGTTTGACTTTTATCCTTCTGAATGATACTGAATCTATTCAAGTATTTTGGTATTCTACATCTTTGGCTTGTATTCCCCGATAAACTGTTATTTCTAGTGGTTGTATCAATTTGGAATTATGAAGTCGCTCATCGTTTTGCCTTGTTCTTTTGTCGGAAATTTGGAGTCTGGAAGAAAGAAAATCTAAATTTCATGCTAGAAATCAGTTTCACAATGATAAGTCTCAGTCTACTGTCAAAGCACATGTGGGAGATTAATACAGTTCATTTTTTGGAGTAGCTTATTTTTAACTGATTAATTGAATTTATTAAGAGTTATAGCTCTATACTTTTTCTTTTTGGATGAAACTCTATAGTTTCCTGATTACCTCTATTCCTTGCCATTATCATGATATGAACTTTTCATATATCATGTTACCATCTTTTCTTTTTTTTATTGCTGCTTGTATTATTTTAGTTTTTAAATCATTTTGGTCTCTCACATGATTTACCTTCTTACAAGGTTCAAGTTGCAAAAGGACTCTTTGGCTGAGAACCAAGACCGTTGCTGCAGTGAAGTACCTAGTGAGTAGAGGAAACATATCTATTAGACAACAAAGTATGGTTTCTGGTAAAAGTTGATATTTTTTTCTTAATTAGGTTCATCTATGCAAGAAATGGAGCATGATGGCCTGAGGAATCTTGTCCCTTTTGAACGTCGTAAGTTGGTTGAGCAGTCAAAGAACCTCCCTGCTGTACCTCCTCCTGCTGTCCCTTCCACTGAACAGATCATTTCTGTCCCAACTACCAGAAGTAGTGGGACTTTCTCTGCTGTACCGAAAAAAAAGAATCGTGAACGGGCACCACAAGTTGATTCTGCTCCTCCAGGGTCTACTAACTCAGAGCCTGTTGACCAGTTATCCGAATCCTCCAAAGCAGAGCCACCTGCTCAAGCAGTTTCTGGAAATTTGTGGAAATATCTCATTGCAATTCTTTGTGTGGTCATCTTGCTTTTTATTGTGGTTGTGGTTATCATGTATCGTAAACGGGCAGAAAAAACTATAGGTCCTTGGAAAACTGGACTAAGTGGACAACTGCAGAAAGCTTTTGTTACAGGTAATTGTAAAATATTTTGTTTGATTTGTCTAGTTGAACTATTGATTTTTGAGCCTGGTTAAATTTTCTAGATGGTCAAATGACATCTTGAATCTTGACTTTGACACTGTTGTATATGTTGACAAGATAATTCAAATATATCCTAGGAAATTGTATAGTTTAAACAGTCAGGTTTTTTCATTTACATAAACATGGGCTTGTTCATGATAGGAAAAACCACGATTAAACCAAAAGTTCCTAAAATATTCTGTCAATTCACAGAAATGTAGTGTCCATCTCCGTCATATGTGATAACCCTGTTAATTTACTTTCTGAATTTGTAGAGTGATTTCTTCATTTTCTTTGGAACATATGGCAGCCAGTTGATATTCTTTGATCCGTGACCTTGATAATATCCAGATCACCCTGAATTTATTAGCTTGATACTTGTATTATTTATGTTTTATGCATACGGTCCTTTTTTTTTTTTTTTGAAAATGCAGGAGTGCCTAAGCTAAACCGGTCGGAACTTGAAGTAGCTTGCGAGGATTTTAGCAATATAATTGACATGAATGGTGGTTGTACAGTGTATAAAGGGACTCTTTCCAGCGGTGTTGAGATTGCTGTTGCATCAATTGGTGTTTCATCTTTGAAGGAGTGGTCAGATAACTCGGAAATAGCCTATCGGAGAAAGGTTTGTTGTTTCTAGAGTCTCAAAACATAAAAGTGGACTATTTTTTTGCTGTAACAGAAATCAATTTAATACTTTTAAATCTTCTGATAGTTTGTTTTACCAAACTTTTTAATCAAGTGTAATGTTGGAACTCACCATAGATCGATTCACTGTCAAGAGTTAACCATAAGAACTTTGTCAACCTTATTGGCTTCTGCGAGGAGAATGAACCATTCAGCAGGATTATGGTTTTTGAATATGCTCCAAATGGAACCCTTTTTGAGCATCTGCACGGTAATACCGTCACTTACATGCACATTTCCTTGTGAATATTTTACTCAATCTCGATTCTTTGAGAGCTTAAATATTTGTTTTTGTTTTCAGTCAAAGAAATGGAGCACCTTGATTGGACTGCAAGGGTGAGATCATCATGGGTGTAGCCTATTGCCTCCAGTATATGCATGATGATCTCAATCCTCCCTTGCCTCATTCAAACTTAAGTTCAAAGACTGTCTTTCTGACAGATGATTATGCCGCAAAGGTAAACCAATTTCAGTCGAAATTGCTTTCATTAACTTCTTATCATCATAAAATGCTCAATTCTATTTTGCCCTATTTTTACTTTTGCAGGTTGGAGAAAGTGCTAGTTTAGAAGATATAGCCAAGTTAAAATCCTCAAGTGATGGTAAATCAGAGCATTCAGAGTTGCCACCTGTTGTTGATCAGGAATTGAATGTCTACAGCTTTGGAGTATTGTTACTTGAAATCATTTCCGGAAAGCTTGCCCACTCGGAAGAGCAGGGACATATCGAGAAATGGGTATGCTTAGGATGACACCTAATGAGTAGTGGTTTGGTTCACAATAGTTTTATGCATTTGGTTAACTTAATCATGAACATGGCAGGCTGATGAATATTTGAAAGACGAAGGGAGCATCAGCAAGATGATCGATCCAATCCTTAAATCTTTCAAGTATGAGGAGCTTGAGGTAATATGTGATGTTGTACGCGAGTGCATCCTAACGGATCCAAGGCAAAGGCCAACAATGAAGGATGTCACTTCCAAATTGAAGCAAGCCATTAACATCGCCCCTGAGCAAGCTACACCAAGATTTTCCCCCTTGTGGTGGGCTGAACTAGAGATTTTATCACTGGAGGCAACCTAGTCTCTCTTTCACCTCTCTTCTCTGTGTTGTAAGTCAAGTCTATCTCTCTCTCTCTCTCTGATTTTGCCTCGAGTCGGAAAGAATTAGCTTTATCATCCTCCCCCCACCCCACCCCCAAAAAATAGCCCTTTTCCTTGTACTTGGTTTCCACTTTTTGTGTCTTTTCTTCCATAAACACACGCATCATACTTCTCCAGTCCTTCAATCTATTCATTATTGCCACCGCTACATTGCAATAAATGTGTATTTTGTACTCGGCAACAGGGATTCCATGTATACACGACTGTAATAGATATAATGTATTCTGTGATTATAAATTCTTGTGTTGTAATACTACTAACATACCAACAAATCTATGTTTTGACTCTCTTTTTACCTCTTAAACGTTTTAGGTAGTCCAGAGAGTGTGTGTGTGTGTGTTTTACCTTTTATGCCTTTTGCCAAGGCTTTTGATTTGATATTAGTTTCATGATAAGATAGTGGGCTTCTTTTTCCCTCTCTTTTTCTTCTTTGTTACTAATTTAAGGATTTGTGCACTCCAAAGTTGCAATAACATCAATCAGTGATGTGCATGGTTCTGCCTAATACTAACATAAAGTTCTGGTTTCTTTTGAGAAAAAAGAAAAGTACCAACGTGAAGCAAAGAGAGGACATGCATTTACAACATATTAAGAGTTTGCATTATGTTTACATGGGCACATTTGACTAATGGTGATAAAATTGTTTTATCGTTATGACAACGATTTTGCTTCTTGTGGGAATCTTTTAATACTTAAATGTCTTTCGGACAAGTTTAGGCCCTAACCATCACCACACAAAACCTGAGAACCCGAGTACCAAATACAATGAACAATCGATGGGAATGCAAATAATTGGAAACTTTTGTCTTTTGCGACATGTAAAGAATGGATTTGAGGGTAACAACCCACACAGTACCATCCCCTCTTCTCATTCTTTTGTAGCTTTGAATTCATCAGGCTTCACATGTTAACCGTGCTCCCCTTATGCATATACTTACAATCCAAAACCTCGCACAAATACTATTATACTACGGAGCGGAAAGCAGCTTCGGTTAGCGTTTGGGGATGGCCAGCAATGATCAGCTTCTACAACGCTGTTTCCATGAATGGATGGATTTTCAATAACAAGAGCTCAAGGATCTCATCCAAGCCCTTGACAAGAACCATACTGATGGAAACTTAACGGAAAACGCCTGCTTCCAACCGACCGAAAAGTCCGTCAACAGCTTCCAGGAGTATATTGACAAGAGAGCCCGACTGGCTAGCTAGGATATATCAGGCTTGTTTTCACCCTCATGGAACACTGCCTTGGAGAACTCCATGCTCTGGAGAGCCGGTTGTAGGCCTTCCATCTACATTAGGCTCACTTACGCACTCTGCGGGTCACAGGTGGAGTTCCAGCATGGTGAGATCATTCAAGGCTTGGCCAGGGGAAGCCTAGGCCTGATTTCTGCTACGCAATTGAAAATGATCAATGATTTGCACATGAAGACGATCAGGGAAGAAGAGAAGCTGTCGAATCAATTGGCTAACTTGCAGGAGAACATAGCGGACCAGCCAATAGTCTGGAAGTAGACTGTGCGCTGGAGGAGCATGAGGTTTCTATGTCGAATATACTGAAGGAGGCTGACAAGCTGAGGCTAAGCACCTTAAGTAATTACTCGGCATAACTCCTTTGCAGGGCGTGGATTTTCTGGCGGCGAGTAGGAAACTTCACCTTTGCATGCATGAGGGGTAAATCAATTGATGGTAGGAGATAACTATGTATATATAATTATATATAGCGCCTGACAATGTCATGTCGTTCCTCTTGTTTTCTTATTTAAGTTTATTTTATATGATGTATATATTCTAATTGATCCATAAAAGTAAAAGCAAAACTCGTAGTATTTATTATAATTCCAATGTCCGTTGAAATCTTCTGGCTTTGTCAGATTTTTTTCAGCCAAAATTTGACCAAAACAAAAAAGAGAAAATAACTTAAGTGAATAAAAATGTCTTATAATATACGATTTTAATCAATTTTTTTTGGATTTACCAAAATGACCAACTAAATCGCAGTGCGATCAATAATTCGCAACGCGATCTGACTATCGCATTGCGCTTTCCCAAATTCGCGATGCGAATTAGGAAAATCGCAATGCGAATACGTAAATCGCAATGTGAATATGACTATCGCAATGCGATTTACATAGCGCCATTCGTATTAAAGCGTATTTTTTTTTCAAATTCCAAACACGAATTTCTTAATATATCGGAAACTGAACCGTCCACAGTATATCCCGTAATCGCAACTCATAACCTAAAACCTAAAATCACAACTCAGTCTCATCTCCATCTCTCACTCTCTACGGCGAAATCCGTCCCCATCTCCGAAGATTTCCGTCCCCATCGCCGGCGAAATCCCTCACAACCATTCACGGTCAGAAATCCCTCACAATCATTCAGAAATGGAAAATCAACCTCCGAGGGTTAGTTTTTTAATTATTTTTATTTTGAAATTTTTGCATTATTTTAGGTTTTTCATATTGAAATTGATGATAAGTTTACTGGTAATTTCAATAATAGATTAACCATTTCACTTAGATTTCTTATTAAATTCATTCGATTGCTGCCAATACTGTTAAATTGTTTAGTCTTTAACCCTGTGAAGTTAGTATTTGTCTTTGTTTTGTCTTTTGGTTGAAGTAATGCAGAAGAAGAATAGTTTCTAAACTTAAAATCGCAACATGAAAATGAAAACCGCAACACGAAAAATGACTATCGCAACGAGAGAAATGAAAATCGCAACGCGAAATGAAAATCGCAACGAGATAATCGCAACGCGAAACCAAAATCGCATTGCGATTTTCATTTCGCGTTGCGATTTTAATTTCGCGTTGCGATAGTCATTCTCTCGTTGCGATTTTCATTCTCTCGTTGCGATTTTCATTTCAACCAAAAGACAAAACAGTGTTGCAAATTTTAGTTTCAAGAATAAACTACTATTTATGTTTATTGTTTTTGGTATATCTTCACAGTGTAGTTTTTGGTATATCTAACTTGGTATGTTTATTATTTTTGTAGAAATTTTTTTCGGCTTCATTGACATTAAGGAATAAAGTTAGCCTAGCCACTACAATTGCTTCGAAGCTTTCACCTGCACAAAGAAAATTGTTTGAGGAAACCTGCTTCGGGCCATGGCTGAGAGTACAGCATTCGGGTGGAGATGCTAATTTGACCCATTTGTGGCTTCAGACCATGACTAGCGATCTACCCGACAGTATACAACGTGGTGAGGAAGAGATATGGTTTCATTTTCCACCGGCGTATACTTGTTTTGGGCGGAAGGAGTTCTGCTTAATCACTGGTCTACGATTCGGACACGATGATGTAGGCCGGTACACTCGTCATATCACCCGCCCATCATGGTTATCCAGGGTTTTTCCTGATGAGTCAATAGAGAAGCCGAACTTACACGTCGACGACCTGAAGAAATTGTTTAATAAGAAAGATGGTTTTACTCGGATGAATGACGTTGATGTTGTCCGAGTATGCCTTCTACTACTTTTGTATGCCGGCTTTTTAGGCAGAGAGGCCAGACAACCTATTCCTCAAGAGCTAATATTATTGGTAGAAGACCTAAATGCATGGAATCTGTTTCCATGGGGTTCGTATATATGGAAAGCTACCTGGACTAAGTTGTCGTCTGCCTTTGATGACCGCAAAAGTTTGCGTGGCGATGGGTCAAAATACACTTTGTCAGGCTTTGTTTGGACCTTTAAGGTAAGAATTTCTATATAATGTTTTCAAAATTATAATTAATTATTTAACAATTACTAATGTTTGTTATTATATTGTTTGTAGATTTGGATATTCGAGGCTTTCCCCAGCATGCGAACATATGCATTAAAAACTTCAAATGATATTCCTAGGGCTATTTCCTGGAAGAGGAAACGTCTGTTGGATTGGGAAGACTTAATACCATATGCGACAATAAATAATGTAAGTTAACACAAATACTATCATATATAAACAAGTTATTAATAGTAGAAGTTTAACTTTGTTTGAGTTTTTATATTTTTAGGAGGCCAACACTCCATTAATGAGACTGACACCCACGGAGGCTGAGCTTGCCACTGATTGGTGGCAAGCTAGTCAGCGTTTTCTTGATGGCACGAATGATGAGCAGCCTCCACTTCCTCCACTTCGAGAGCCATCACCTCACCCAGAGCCATCACATGATCGACCCGACTATACACCTCTACAACGAGAGCCATCACCTATCCCGTCACATCATCGAGCCTCTTCTCCACCATCACCTCATGATAGACGACCGACAAAGATGCCACAACTTCTATCTCCCTGTTCTCCACCTCCACCTCCACGGGATGAGTTAAGGGAGTTACGTGATGAGGTCAATGTCTTGCATGAGGAGATCGGTACTCTACGCGATAACGATGGTGCATGGAGTGTTAAGGTGTTTACTTTACGTGGTGAGGTTGCCGCTCTACGTGAGATGGTAGTATCGTTGCAGAATGAGGTTTATACTCTACGCAACGAGGTAAGTTTAAGATTTTCCATATTTAACTTGATGATAAATTTACTCGTAATTTCACTTAGATTAACCATTTCACTTAGATTGCTTAGTAAATTTATTCGGTTGCTGCCAATACTGCTAAACTGTTTATTAACACTGTGAAGTTAGTATTTGTCTTTTGTTTTGTCTTTTGGTTGAAGTAAATTTATTTGGTTGCTGCCAATTCTGTTAAACTGTGTATTCTTTAACACTGTGAAGTTAGTATTTGTCTTTGTTTTGTCTTTTGGTTGAAAGTAAATTTGTTCGGTTGCTGCCAATTCTGCTAAACTGTGTATTCTTTAACACTGTGAAGTTAGTATTTGTCTTTGTTTTGTCTTTTGGTTGAAAGTAAATTTGTTCGTTTGCTGCCAATTATGCTAAACTGTGTATTCTTTAATACTCTGAAGTTAGTAGTTGTCTTTGTTTTGTCATTTGGTTGAAGTAATGCAATCCATTCAAGTTTCAATTTGCAGAAGAAGAATAAATAGTTTATTCTTGAAACTATATTTTAGCAACACTGTTTTCTCTTTTGGTTGAAATGAAAATCGCAACGCGAAACTATAATCGCGTTGCGATTTTCATTTCGCATTGCGATTCTCTCGTTACGATTTTCATTTCGCGTTGCGATTTTCGTTTCGCGTTGCGATTTTCATTCTCTCGTTGCGATTTTCATTTCGTGTTGCGACAGTCATTTTTCACGTTGCGATTTTAAGTTTCAGAAACTATTATTCTTCTGCAAATTGAAACTTGAATGAATTGCATTACTTCAACCAATAGACAAAGACAAATACTAAG